TTCAGCATTTTAATCAGGTATTGAGATAAAACAAGCATTCAAGGACACTATTTCTATTAAAATAAAGCCCTAAATGAGTCCAATTTGTGGACTCATCAACACCCCAACTTAAACTTTTGCTTGTCCTCACGCAAACTCAAGCTCAACAGTTCAAATAGGGTTCCTCAAACGGTGCTACACAAGACTAAAACATGAATGCACACAACAAGACTCAATTTACTTATGCAAGGATCACTTGTGTACTCAAAGATTCAAATTGTGAGACACCATTACCAAAGATTCAAATTGTGAGACACCATTACCAAAGATTCTCATGCTCGCAATACTTGCTACTTATGCAAGTTCAAGCTCAACAAAAGTATCTAAATGCCCTCATGTAAAGAATGATTCCATATTCACACACATATATGAGTCAATGTAAGATCAGGAATGAGATACAACGCTCACACTAAAAAATAGGAACACAATGCATGCTTTCACCCATCAGTTTGCCCTTATTTTCCAATTGATTTTCGATTCGGCTTACTCAAGATCACAAAGGTCTTTCTAAGGCTTGTAACGGAGTTGAGTGTAAAGGTATGGTCATTTAGGCTCAGTGAATTTCATCCTCGTGAGATGTGATATTCTCAAGGCATCCTCTTCCCTTCCTTTCTCAATTCTTCTTCTAGTGCTCATAAGCCATCCTATTATTTGTTCTCCATGTATTTGCTTGGAAACCCAGTTTCTTGTGCACTTTTATTCCACGACTTTCTTTTTCTTTCTTTTCTTTTCTCTTTCTTTTTCTCTTTTTTTTTATATGGAGGGTTTCCATTTTGTTTTTCAATACAATAGGTTCAGGAGACTTTCTTGCACTTCTTGACTTTTCCTTTTCTTTTTCACCACACCCCCAACTTAGACTTTTGGCCTAAGTTGGCTATTCACTAAACACATCTCAAGAGGATTATAGGTAGTGGATGAAAAAAAGTCTAAGTTTCATCAAGTTTCTTCCAAAGGAGGATAGACTCAAGGGGTGTTCAAGAGAGTTTCACACGCTCACGGGTAGGCCACAAAAAGAGGTATATGTCAAATTGGCTCACACTCTTTAAAATTGCCTAAGATCATCTCAAGAGTAAACCTTTGTAAATCAATCAGACTAACAGGGCAAATTGTAGGTTTATTTATGCAAGGTTCGAAGTAAGCTAATCACACAAGGCATTGATACTTCAGTCAGACAAGACTAGACACGTTGTCTAGCGTGCAACAGTCCTCACAAGAAAATCAATTCGATAAATGGCTAGTCACAATGAGATGCGAAGAGTGCACATATTGTCTATGTAACTTTATTTGGCCTCGTCGTAGCCATGCATTCATGTTTGTTCAATTGAGAGCACTATTCAAGTCATCGGTATTGATCGCAATCGAGACTTAAATTTTTGCAAAAGAACATCCACTTTCAACATAAGAGGTGGCGAAAAGTTTTTTTTCGAAGGATCAAAATTGTTTTTGCAATTAAAACAACAGGAGCCATGAGCTCAAACATCCACATAAAAGCAGTATTTAAAACACAAATTAAAATAGACAGCCCAAATATCCAAATAACACACAAAAGATGTGGGCCTCACCCCACCACAAATAAAAAATGTTTGTCCTCAAATGCAAGTTATAAAATATCCAAAAAGGGCAGATAAAGAAAAATAGAAAGGGAGGTAAAGAGGGGGTCCTGCTTAAGCAGTCGCTCGTCGCTCCATCTGTCTGGGCATCAGTGCCAATTAACCCATTTTTATCCAATAAGGGTGGTTCAATAGAGGTCAACAATACCAAAGAGTTTGCAAGTGGGTACAATGTTGACAAAAAATTACAGGGATCAGGAAGCTAACCTTTTGTATTAATTGAGAAATTACTGAGGTGCTAGGCGGCAATCCAATCCAAATCCGCGCACAAATTTGTGAATCAAATACTTCGAGAGTGCAAGAAATTAAGACTAAAGTGCAGGTGTTAGTTTGGTAGGATGAATAAATGAGAGAAAGTGAATGAACCAGAATATTTAAACCTATGGCCTGCAGAAACCATCCAGTTTCTGCCCATTCGGCGATGTACATTGGGTACGCTTATTCACTCGGTGAAGCGCCAAGTGTCTAGTCTCTTCGCCAAATGTGACAGGACTCGCATCTCATGTGAGGATCTCAACGGCGGTCTATATTGCAATCACCGACATGGTTGGTGATGCGCCATTAATTTTCTACTGAACGCCAAATTTTACAGAATCCCAACTGACATTGCCTTGAGTCACCCGGCGGAAAGAGTCGTGCTCGTCGATATCATCGGCGATCCGCCAACTGCACTTGTTGTTTGCCTTCATACATTATTTCACTCTCCTCCTTTGCTTTAACCTGTACAAACTACACACCATTATTTTCTTAAAGTAAAACAAAGCAATAAAGGGTTTTAGGTTGCCTCCCAAACAATGCCTTAGTTAACGTCGTGGAACGACGTAGGAATACTATCAAGCATCCTCCAGGTACAATTCTTCAACTTAAGCAACTTCCTGGCAATCCCCAAGGTATAACTTCAAACGCTGTCCGTTAACCTTAAATGGGGGTCCCTCTTTACCTTCAACTTCTATAGCACCATTGGTGAACACTCGTGTTACTCTGAAAGGCCCTGACCATTTGGATTTTAGCTTCCCTGGGAATAGCCTTAGTCGTGAGTTGTACAATAACACCCAATCTCCCACATTGAATTTCTTCTGGACTATTCGTGTGTCGTGCCATTTCTTCATTTTCTCTTTGTAAATGCCTAAGCTGTCGTAAAATCTGAGCCTGAACACATCTATTTCATTCAACTAGTCCAGCCTCTCCTTTGAAGCCTTTGTCCAATCTAAATTCAGAGCTTTTAATGCCCATAAGGCTTTGTGTTCTAGCTCAACAAGTAAATGACATGATTTACCAAAAACTAGCTGATAAGGGGACATTCTTATAGGTGTCTTGTAAGCAGTCCGATATGCCCACATGGTATCGTCAAGCTTTCTAGACCAGTTGGTTCTGCTGCCGTTTACTGTCTTGGATAGAATGTTTTTGATCTCACGATTAGACACCTCAACTTGTCCGCTTGTTATGGGTGATATGGAGTGGCGACCTTGTGTTTTACTCCGTATTTGCTCAATGCACCGGAAAACCACTTATTGCAAAAATGCGATCCTCCATCACTTATGATTGCTCTTGGAGTGCCAAACTGTGCAAAGATGTAGCGTTTCAAAAATTAGACAACGCTTCTTCCTTCATTATTCGGGAGTGCGACAACTTCTACCCATTTGGATACATAGTCCACAACTACTAAGATATACTTGTTTCCAAATGAGCTGACAAATGGACCCATGAAATCAATTCCCCACACATCGAATAGTTCGATTTCCAAAATAGGTGTAAGGGGTAACTCGTGTCTTCTTGACACTCCGCCTTGTTGCTGACTTGAGAGCATCTCTTAGTGAAATCGTGGGTATCTTTGTAAAGAGAAGGCCAATAATAACCACTTTGGAGAATCTTTTCTGCGGTCCGGTTTCCACTATGATGACCCCCTACTGGTGATGTGTGGCAGGCATGGAGGATCTCTGTTGATTCTTCTTTCAGAACACACCTTTTTATGACATGATCAGCACATTCCCGAAATAAGTATGGCTCGTCCCAGAAGTATCTTTAAATATCAAATAGGATCCTCTTTCGTTGGTAAGAGTTTAACTCATCGGGAATCAACCCATATGCGATGTAGTTTGCAAAGTCAACATACCATGGTACATGTGTGAGTGACAATGCGAATATCTGCTTGTCTGGGAATAAGTCATTTATCTCCTTTTCCTGCTCAGTACCTGCTTTATTCTCTAACCGTGATAGGTGATCTGCAACTTGATTCTCACAACCTTTTCGATCTTTCACCTCAAAATTGAATTCTTGCAAGAGTAGCACCCATCTTATCAGTCTTGGCTTCGCGTCCTTTTTTGACATGAGGTATCGAAATGCTGCATTGTCTGTATGAACAACTACTTTAGTGCCTAGCAAATATGCCCAAAACTTTCAGAAGCATAGACCACTGCTAGCAACTCTTGTTCAGTGACTGTGTAATTTCACTGGGCACTATTTAGAGTCTTGCCTGCGTAATAGATTAGGTGGAACAGTTTGGTACGCTTTTGTCCCAATACTACACCTAATGCCATACCACTCGCATCACACATCACTTCGAATGGTTATGACCAATTGAGCTGATGATAACGGGTGTGGATATCAATTTCTCCTTCAAACATTTAAATGCTGCCATACAAGCGTCATCAAAGTAGAATTTCACTTCCTTCTCTAAGAGTTTGCACAATGGTTGTGCAATCTTTGAGAAATCTTTAATGAATCTCTGGTAGAAGCCTGCATGACCCAAGAAACTACGAATCCGCTTCACTGAGATCGGCAGTGGTAGTTTCTCAATAACTTCGACTTTTGCTTTGTCAACTTCCAACCCTTGCTGCGACACTTTATGCCCAAGAACAATGCCTTCTTTCACCATGAAATGACATTTCTCCCAATTTGGGACTAGATTAGTTTCCACACACCTTTGAAGCACTCACTCTAAATGTGTCAAGCATCTTCGAATGTGTCCCCCACGAGTGAGAAATCATCCATGAAAACTTCTAGAGAGTCCTCAACCATATCTGCAAAGATGGATGACATGCATCGTTGAAAAGTGGCCGGTGCATTACAAAGTCTGAATACCATCCTTTTGAATGCAAAGGTCCCATAAGGGCATGAAAGTGGTTTTCTCTTGATCTTCTGGTGTGATAGATATTTGGTTGTATCCAGAGTATCCATCCAAAAAATAATACCACCCTCTCTTTGATAACCTGTCAAGCATATGGTCCATGAAGGGCATTGGAAAATGGTCTTTTTCAGTCCATGCATTTAGCTTTCGATAATCCTTGCACACCCTTCATCCTGTTACAAGTCTAGTCGGCACAAGCTCTCATCTAGCATTTGGGACCACTGTTATGCTAACTTTTTTGGTACGCATTGCACTGGGCTGACCCATTTGATCTCTGAAATAAGATAGATTACTCCTGCATCAAGCATCGGGGGGTTCAACCTTCGCTGATGCTCAACATTGGGTCTGCATTCACTGTCCAGCCAAATCTTATAGGTGCAGATACCAGGCGAAATGCCCACGATATCAGCTATGGTCCATCCGATCGCCTTTATGTGCTTCTGCAATACTTCAACAAGCACTTTTACCTGCCTTTCACTCAGATTTGCTGCAATAATCACTGGCAGAGTGTTGTTAGTTCCCAGGAAAACATACTTGAGATGGGATGGGAGTACTTTCAGCTCTAGAGTTGGCGGCTCTTTAATTGATGGCTTTGCAGGTGGGCTGCATCGATTTTTAGGTCGATCTCTAACTTAATTGGATTTCGTGCATGTGCTCCTAACCCTGTTAGGGCTACGATTATTTCATCATATTCCTGAATTTCCGAATCGTCATGATTTGCAAGTATTGACTCAAGAGGCTTATTCTTGCGCAGCAGATGACTCACACTTGCCACTGTCTCATCTATAACATCTTCAGTAGACACTACATGGATATCACTTAGTTGCTTCATGGATTTTCAGATGTTGAAAGTTACCTTATCGTCATTCACACGGAATTTCAACTTACCGCTTTCAGCATCTACTAATGCTCTGCTAGTTGCTAAGAATGGCCTTTCCAAAATAATGGGGAGCTCAACATCAATGTCACAGTCTAAAATCACAAAGTCAGCTGGAAATATAAACCGATCCACTTTGACCAAGATATCGTAGAGGATCCCAACAGGATGTTTGATGTATCGATCTGCCATGAGAAGTCTCATGGTAGTTGCCTTTGGTTCTCCCAATCCAAGTTGCTTGTACATGGCGTATGGCATCAGGTTGATGCTTGCTCCTAGGTCACATAAAGCCTTGGCAAATTGGAGCATTCCAATAGTACATGGGATGGTGAAAGAACCAGGGTCGTTCCTTTTAGTAACTATCTCCTTTGTCATGATCGCACTGCAACCATGAGAAACTTCAATCGTTTTATAATCCAAGATCCTCTTCTTGGTGACTAACTCTTTCATGAATTTAGCATACCCTGGCTTCTCCAACAATGCTTCCACCAAAGGAAGGTTGATGGACAACTTCTTGAACACAGACAAGAATTTTGTAAACCTCTCATCTTCATTCTTTTTTTTCAAACGCTGGGGAAAAGGTTGATGTATTTTGGGTAAGGGTTGTATTATTTTTGAAGTCTCATTGTGTTGATTCATTTCTTCTTATGCTTTCTTGCCGATGTTTTGATGATCGGTGACTTCTGCTTCTTCCTCACCCTGATTTTCCTCACGTTCTTCTCCTTCGTTACCTATCGCTACCTTCCCCTATGGGTAATTACATCCATCTCTTCTTCCTCATTTTCCTTTAGCATCTTGGTTGGTAGTTGAGCCGATAGGAGATTCAATTGACCTTTTAGCATCTTGATGGCATTAGCATGAGAGAGTTCACCTTGTTATTTAGTGAAGAAAAATCATCTCTCATTCCTTTTAGCAAATCATAAGAACTTTCAACTTTCTCAAGAATTTGTGTCAGTAGATCATTCACCCTAGGGCTATTGTCACTCCCCTTTGATGTCGGGCGGTCACTCAGTTGAGTTTGGTCTTCTTCATAATAGTCATGCTTAGTCCACTATTGGAAATATCGCCTAGGTCCTTCACCTCTAGGGTGGTTCCAACCTTGATTTCCAACCCGCGATTAATAGTGCGGGTGGAAACCCTCCTCATTCCGTCTGTGGTTCCGACCTTGATTCCCTCTCGATTTCAAGTTATCGAAAAAAGAACCCTCTTCTGCGCGTAACACTTCACAGTTGCCTTTCATGTGCTCTTGTAGATATTCCATCTATGACAACATCTTTTTGATGTTTTCATCCCTGTCTTTTTCTTTATCGAGTTGCTCTTGCGTCAGCCTGAAACATAGATGGGAGACCTGATCTTCTTTGGTGTACCAAGCTTGATTTACTTTCTCCATACCATCTAGGAGAAATGAAGCCACCTCAAAGGGTTGTAGCATTATGCCGCCTTGGACCAATTGATCAGCTATCCCTTTGTTGACTGAATCAAGACTTCGGTAAAAATATTGGAGTAGCAACTCACTTGGCAGCCCATGTGTTGGGCATTTCCACAAAGACCTCTTATATCTAATCCACGACTCATGAATTGGTTCTCTCACTTTTTGTTTGAAATTCTGAATGTCGTCCCTCAATTTCATCATTTTTGACGGGGGAAAGAATCTATTATGGAAAGCAGCGACTAACTCTTTCCATGATGTGATAGAACTTTTGGGAAGCTCAGACAACCACATAGTGGCAACTCCTATTAGTGATAATGGGAATAAGCGAAGCCTGATGGCTTCGTGTGACCAATTTTTGAATGACAACGGGGAACATACATCCAAAAAGCTGTGGATATGTTCATGTGAATCTTCATGATCTAATCCTCCGTATAGGCCCCTTGAATGTATGAGATGGAGTATTGTGCTGGTGATTTCAAAATTACCATTTCCACCACCCTGCGGCAAGCGAATTGCACCTATCTCACCCAATGGAGCGGGGTCATAAACACTGTTTGCATCGTCAATGTCATCTCGGTTCAAGTCAGTGTTCAATGGGTTGTTTGCGTGGCAACTATCCCCCACGTCCTCACTCATTATTTATGTTTTCAACACAAACAAGCAAATCAAAGCTAAAAATTAAGTCAGTAAAGCTAAAACTAAGAAAAACAGAGATTCTTGCCAATGATCCTTGGGATTATATACACTCAAAAACTCGAGGAAAAACAAAACTGAGAGTAAAGTTAACAATCTACGATTAATAAGACGAAAATTCTAGTGAAATAAAAATTCTCAAATAACACCAGTCCCCGGCAGCGGTGCCATTTTGATGCTTATCGTGACCAACGACACTATCCTACGATATGAGTGTCTATGATCGTCAATAATATAGTAACCTAATCGAGGGTTGGGGTCGTGTCCCAAGGGATCAGTTTTGAGAATTAATAACCAATTAGAATTTCATTCAAGTTAGTCGTAGTTAAAGACATTTGCGATAAAAGACATAGTAAATTAAAAAGAGGTGACACAAAAGTGTCAAATATCAAAGAGGGTTTTGTAACAAGTACTCAAACAACAAAATAAACAAGAAAATCAAGTATGGGAAAAGGTTCTTGGGATGTGACCGCAATACAAGTTGAGATAAATTGTTGGGTACATGCTTTCAATAGGAAATTTGCAAGATAATAGTGACTAGGCTAAGCTTTAAATGGAAATAAGTTCCCTCTCGGGCAACATACCCCGTTTCAAATGTGTTACTCTCGGACACCCATTTGCCGCATGAAGACAAGCCTACACCTTACCCACTCACTCTCTCGAGCTGAGTGTTAGGATATGGGACTAGGGCTCACCCTCTCGGGTTGAACCTCATGTCGACCCACTCCTTAGGCCATCAGTCTAGTGGCTTTGGTTTCGCGACCACCCTCTCTGGCAAGCCGAAAACACATGGGTGGTTTTGTATTTGCAACTACAAACCCTTTAGATTAAACCACAACCACTAGGTGAAATCACCTTTAACATACATCTTACCTATCAACAAGCAAGCCCCAACAAGAATATCAACCCATATTTGCTAAATCACACCCCAAGAAGGGGCTTTTTAGCCACATATCAAGAAATTAGAAATTATACCTAACATGATAATGAAATCAACTGGGTATAAGAAATTAAACCTTGAATTAAGCAAAGGAAAGTGAATAGAGAAGATCCACTTCCAACTTGGGGAAGAAGAACTCCTTTCTTCAAGTCCCCACAAAACCCTCTCCAAGTTTGAGACAAAAATACAGAAAAGTACTATAGACTAATAATAATTTTTACTCTAAAAATATTCCCCACTTAAGACTACAATTCTAACTTGTATTTATAGTTTTCACAGATTGTGCTGTGGAGGATTGTTCGACGACATTAGTTGAGATCGCCTATGAACTCGGCGATCCGCCTTTTGGTCATCTCATCGCCTTCAGTGTCTTGCCTTTAGCATCCTCGCATTCTGGATCATTGGGCGGTATAGTGCTATTTCGCGGAACTAATCAGCGACCCGCCGACTGCTTCTTTCCTTGCCTTTTGATCCACTTCCTTCAAGGCTTCGCGTACTGGAACGAAGGGTAGTTCATGTCGTTTCGACGACTCGCCAAGTTGAACTCGACGATCCGTAGGATTCAATTTCTTCTTCTTTTCAGCCCTATTTGCTCCGTTTTGTGCCTAAGTGTCCATGCTTCCACCGAAACTTTAAATACCTGAAACTTCAGTATTTTAATCAGGTATTGAGATAAAACTAGCATTCAAGGACACTATTTCTATTAAAATGAATCCCTAAATGAGTCCAATTTGTGGACTCATCAACCTGCATATCACCGAAAGTTACAACACTCAACCTCCAAATAGAGAAGTAAATGGAGATCTAGGGGGACTTAGGCGAACAGCCAAACCGCCGAACCACTCGGCGAACTCGACCCAACTCACCGAATAGCCCTTCGTGTCAGTTTTTCACCCCATTCTTCAAAATCATGCCCGCATCCCATGAAATCAAAATCAAACACTTACATTATGAAATTAAAGCAAGACCCATACCACCCATCCTCTTGGGGTACTGAGACTTCCCTCGATTTGGCCAAAATTGTCTTATTGACGTCTTTTGCCATTAAGAATGACGTCAACTACTCCATCATTGGGCAAAATACGACAATTAGCACAATTCGGGGTTACTCAGACTTCACCCCACTAGAACCAACAACTAGTCAATGCAACCCAACAATTTAATCAATTTTCGACACGAGAATTAGCTATTTACGATATTTTAAGCACAAATTCCTTTAACTACGGGAAAACCAACAATCAATCGATGATCACACTACATGACCCAACGGTATTCAATAACAATTTAACACAATCATTTGATTTCAACCAACAATTAAGTTTGGGGTTCGGAAAACTAACCTTTTATGCCGAATTTTTTTTGTAATGATAGGCGACAAAGTAATTCTAAAGTTAACCCCGAGAAAAGATCCCAAGTAAAATGATAGTAAAAGTACTAAAGTACAAACAATCTAATATCGGGGTGAGAGTACGGGAGTTGAAAATGTAAGAGACAAGAATTTTTGAATCTAAAACCGTTTGACCCTTTTAAAACTCTTCAATTTGCGCGCCATTCGGTGAAGTAAGTCGCGCCGCCATACCACCCAACGATGCATTTAGTGTTACTTTTTCCACCGAGTTTTAAAGAACCTCCAGCATACTAGGTGGTTTCAACGGTGGTCCAAATCGGGCTTGCCAACCTGTTTGGTGAGTCGGCGATTGGACTTTTAGCTCGCCTATTTCCCATTTTCCAACATTTTCACTTTTCAACCTACAAAATCAACACTGATTTATCAAAAGAAAAATTTAAAAGCATCAAAAACTTGGGTTGCTTTCCAAGAGATGCCTTATTTAACGTTGTGGCACGACGTAGATACGCTTTCAAGGATCATTCTTCGGGTTGGCCAAGGTATCACTTGGTGGGGCCATTTCGGCTTTGGGTTCAAATGAGATGAAATTTGAACCATTTGCGTTTCCAATTGCTTGATTGACACTGAATGAGTGGTGATCGTCTGATTAAGTGTAGAGATGTCTTCTTTAATTTCTTTCAAAACTTTGTCCGGCCCTTCTACCTTATTGAGAATACATGAGAATATGTCTTCTGTACGAACATTTTCTGGTTCCTTGGGCTTTTGACGCTCATGGGGTGGGACGTATCTATCCTTGTTACCCTCTCTTTTCTTCCCAGTAGCGTTACGGTCATGCCAATATCTATCACGATCTCTCCATCCCTTATCTCTATTCCAATCCAGATTTCCATCCGGCCTTGGGTAGTTTGAATGAAAACCTCCTCCTTGATTTGCAAGAAATTTCACTTCCTCATTGTACAACGCCTCAAAATATGCCTCATCGAGATTTGCTCCACCAATACCCACAACATTCACACTCTTCAACCCACTACCTGATAATAAGTCCATATGGGTCATCATTTTGGCCATATTGTGGTCTCTCTCTTAATCTTTTTCGATATGCTCTTTTTTCATCCTAAAATTGAAAGGAGACCCTTGGTTCTTCACGAGTGTACCATGCTTGATTGATCTTGGTCATACCATCAAGGAGTTGAGATTCAACCTCGTAAGTATGCTGCATTATACCT